ATAAGCATATTGCTTTACTTTAAAAAAAGAACTGAATTTCTTTCTCTTGGTGTGATAGTTATTCTCACCACATAAGCCAGCAAAAATACCTCCCCCTCCTCCCCTATCCCCTTCCCTCTGTATCAAAGATCAAAGATTTCAACAGTTGAGAATTGGAAACCATTGGACAAGTATCTACTTCTATCATAAACATAATAACCCTATCATGGCTCAGTAATCTGAAGAAGGCATAAAACATTAAAATAAATCATAACTTCAAAATGTATCATGTCACCTTTCTAAAAATGGAAGCCACATCTGAGTTATGAAAAAAAAATTGCCTTGGACGCAGCCCATCACTGGAAGGGTCCAAGCAGAGGCTGGCTAACCACCTGTTGGGGATGTTAGAAAGCATTTCCCCCACTGAGCAGGGGATGGTACTAGATGGGCTGCTGAGATCCTTTCCAACTCAGAGGTGCTATATTAAGGTTATTTCAAACATGGCTTCCTATGGAGGTGTTCAGAGGCAAGAGCTGTCCATTTCATGGGGATCTATCTTACAGATAGACAAAAGGGGACCAGGGACTTGATGAGTTCTCTGTTCCTTCACAGCAGGAAGGCACTATCTATAGCTGGTCTGCCAGGCTAGTAATTTAAATTGATGTAAATCAACTTGATTTAAAATTCACCCAAAGGGAAAGTACAAATTTCCTTTAGTGTCCATAGGCTAAGACCTCAGAGGGTGTTCCAGTCTACTGTTATTGCCACAAAGAAGCCTTCCCAGATTTGGAACAAAGCAAAGGGATTCTAGATTTCATATCCCAGGAAATGGGTACATGGAATTCAATAAAAAGCCACAGAGAGAAACTTGGGGGGTAGGGGGGTCTATTGTTGGGTTTTTTGTTTTTTTATTGTGTTTTTTCTTTTTTATAAAGAGTAAGAAAGTGGAAAACGCCTTTTTCATTAGGCATCTGGGAAACACATATCAGAGGAAGCATGAGCCAAAAGTATATTTCAGAAATCCACACACATTGCATAACGAAAGAATCAGTGTGGGCCTCTTTTCACTAACCTTGCAATTAAATCTTGGCTGTAAACGAAGGGCTCTGGAGCTGTACCTATTCATTTTCACACACAATTGATACTGTTTGATAACTTAACTTGTGCAAACACATGTTTGAATAATAGCTGATTAACAAACCATGCAGAACAGTGTCTCCAATCCCTGCAGAGCCCAGGATACAGGAAATGGAGCACATAGGGCATAGTTCCCCAAATGTGTTCTGGCTAGGACAGCTGGAAAAAAAGTGCCTGCTGGATCCTTGCCCCACTGCTATTCTTAGGATCTTGGTGGGAAGGCTGCCTTACAACCTGGATCTGTGGGCACCTGAAGAGACGTAAGATCAGCCCTCCTCACTCCAAATCTCATTCTAGGGCTGTATTCTTGAAAAGACTGCAAAAAGCAATTAAAATTACATTTTAGATGCACTCAAGGGGCTTGCTATTTAAATAAGAAAGATCTATTGTGTGTGAATCCTTTTAGAAGGCTAGAGATCACTCGACTAGAATTCAGGTCATCAGTTCTAGGTTTAGCAAAGGCACCACAGCGCTGTGATAAAAGGTGCCTGTAATGATTCTGGCATTTACTACCTGTGTGAACTTAGGTAAGTCACATAACCTCCTGGGCCTCAGTTTCATCATCTGTAAAATAAGATTGGATGAGTAGATCTAGTATCCTGTGATGCCTCAAGAAAGAACTCCATTCAAAGAAGGGTTTCCCTCCAAGAGTGGTTGGATGGATGGACAGGTGGGAACACTCATGGCTAAGATCTTCTCCCCACTTTCCTCCTCTCTGACCTCATCCAAGTTTGCACCTCTTTGATGAACTTGAGGCTAATGACAAAGTGGAGACAACAATCACGACAATAAAGTTTTAATTGGATCAGACCAAAGACACCGAGAAGACATCTGTACTAGGGGCAATGCAATTTTGAAGACACTGGACACCGGCCATGGGTTGTTGCCTTCCTCCATCTCCACCCTGGGGGTGCCTCTCCCCTCCCTCACACAGGATAGCACAGCGGATCAGAGAAAGGGACTCAGAATGAGAAAACGTGGGTCACATTACCTCTCAAAGCCTCATTTATTGCATGTGTAAAATGGGAACGATAGTGATAACTGTACTTTTACTATTTACCTCACAGGGTTATCAGGTGGTTCAGATAACATAATGTACCTAAAGTACTTTGCAATTCTGACATCACTGTATGAAAGTCAGTTACTATTAGGAGAAGGTTCCGATACATTATCATTGCCAGTCGTTTCAGCTTCCATTTGGGGTTTTCTTGGCAGACAATGGTTTGCTGGTTCCTACTCTGGTTCATTTTACAGATGAGGAAACTGAGGCAAACAGAGTTAAGTGACTTTCCCAGGGTCCAATATATTACCTGTGCTTTTATGGCTACAGTCAGCTTTAAGCCTTCAGACTTACCATAATATCCTATATTATTATTTCTTTTTTTTAAAGGGACATATTGTAAAAGCTAACACACTTAAAGAAATTATGATGGGGGGCGGGCAACTAGGTGGTGCAGTGGATAGAGCACTGGCCCTGGAGTTAAGAGGACCTGAATTCAAATCCGATCTCAGACCTGACACTTGACACTTACTGGCTATGTGACTCTAGGCAAGTCACTTAACCCCAGTTGCCTCACCAAAAAAAAAAAAAAAAAAAAAAAAAAAAAAA